TTTTTTTGTAGACATGGTCAGGTAAATTTTCTGATGTAGCTCTTACTGATCAAAGTCGATCAATATTTGCTACTTCATGTGTTGAATTTGTTAAGAAATATGGTTTTGATGGTGTTGATTTAGATTGGTAAATAAAATAATTAATAAAAATAAAAAAGAATTTTCACACTAAGATATTCAAATCAAGTTCTTATATTTGACTAAATTAAACTGATAAATAAACCCATATATCATCTAAAGAAAGTCATAAGCATTATTACAATAGAAGAAATTACCATACAACTAAGTACATTGAACAAATTTGATTTAATCATCTTTGTAGATTATTCTTGTAAATCTTTTATTTTTAGGAGTCGAATGATAGAGTATTTATAGTTATTTCTAGGATAAAAGTAGTTTGTCTATTAAGAATTTGAATGATGTAATTATGAGAAAATATATTCAAAAGAATGATATATGTTATAATTATAGGGAATATCCTGTTTCTGGTGGTTTACCAGGTAATAGTCGTCGTCCAGAAGATAAACAAAATTATGTTCTTTTATTAAAAGAACTTCGTAATAAACTTAATACCATATCTGATAAGAAATATTTATTAACTGTAGCGTAAGTAAAATAATTTTTCAATAGATATTTGTTAATTTATTTTTTTCTTTTATTATTTATAGAAGTGGAGCAGGTACTGAACGTATTGCTGATATGGATTTATCTGGTATGTCTGTATATGTTGATTGGTTCAATGTTATGACTTATGATTTTCATGGTTAGTTTTATAAATTAAAATTATCTTAATGATTTTATTTAATAATATAAAATAAATTTATAGGTGGTTGGGAAGCAAAAACAGGTCATAATGCTCCATTATATAAAAATAATGATGAAACAACAAGTGATGTTGCTCCATCATTTATTAAATCAAAATATAATTGTGATGCAGCAATTAAAGCTTATATTACAGGTGGAGCACCTTCTACAAAAATTCTTATGGGTTTATCATTATATGGACGTGGTTGGCAAGGTTTCATTTAGAGATTTCTCTTTATAATTATAAAATCATTTTTGATTTTTTTTCTTAGGAGTAACAAACACAGCTCTTAATGGATTTTCTCAAATAGCATCAAGTCAACTTCCAACTGGTACTTGGGAAAATGGTATTTATGATTATGATCATTTGAAAAAATCTTTTATTTCATCAAATAAACGTTATTGGGATGATCAATCAAAAGTACCTTTTCTTTTTAATCCATCAACTGGTCTTTGGATTACTTATGATGATGTTGAATCAATTAATATTAAAAATAATTATATTAAACAAAGTAATTTAGCTGGTGCTTTTTTCTGGGAATTAAGTGGTGATCGACAAGCTGAATTAATTAGTGCAACATTTAATTCATTAAATAATGGTGTTCAACCATCACTAACAACTAGTGCATCATCAACTATAATAACAAATAAACCATCATCAACTGTAACAACAAATAAACCATCATCAACTATAATAACAAATAAACTATCATCAACTAATCCTTCTGTTACTAAAAATGTTATGACAACAAGTGGATCATCTAATCAAGGCAATACTTCAAAATGGGAAGCTTATCATTCATATTTGGTTAATGATCAAGTAACATATAAAGGAATAAGATATCAATGTAGACAAGCTCATACATCATTACCAGATTGGATGCCACCTGTTGTACCAGCACTTTGGTTACAGATCTAATCTTCACTTATTTAGTAAAACATTAACATATTTCTTTTGAATATCTTAGAATCTTTATTTATGTTATTTTCTTTAAATACATATTTATCTTTTTAATTACTATTTTAAACCTCTTATATATCAACGTATATAATGAAAATAGTTTTTATGAATATGTAATCTATTTATATTGCATTCGATGTTAATAAAAAAAATATTCTGCGCTTAACCGACATTTTCATAATTGAAAATTAAAAAAAAATCCTTTTTTTGTTGAATACGACATTATTTCATAAAATTATTTACATATCTAGTCATTGAATAGCTCAGTTAGTAAAAAAAAAAAAAGATAAAAATTTAACAAATAGAAAAATCTTTTAGTCTAATCATATTTGAATAAAAGAGTTAAAGTTGTTAGCGCAATCCCTCGAGAATTAAAATGTGAAACACAATAGAACTGTTTATATGCTAAGTTAGAGAATTTACTAATATACGTTGCTGTTTGATAATGATCACCTATTGTTTATATGTATTGATGCCGGGAAGCATTAATCGTTATATGTAACTATAAGCATGAAAGAAAGCCAAAAAAAGAAGATATCTTCAATTTGATTACTTTCCACAATAACCACACAGTAGAGCTTGGTTGCATAGTTGTCTGCCGCGGTTTATGGTGAAGAAGATACGTTGCTAAGGATATCTGTCACATCTGGAGTGTGGCAGAAGTGGAGGTACTCGAAATTTCATCCTTTATACTTCAACAATTATTTTAAGTCACATCTCACAAAAACATATATATATATACTATTGTTTGTAATCTATATATGATGGATTTCGACTTGGTAAAAAAACCAGAGTGAGTAAAATTTTTCTATGAGTAACATTGACTGAAATAGCAGAATTTTATTTGCATAATTTATTTTTAACACAATTCTTTCATAAAACATTTCATTAAATAAATTTCGTTTTAATGCATTGATTTTCTTCTATAATGATAGTCATCGTTGCATACATAAAAAAAAATCAGACTTCAGACTGGATCCGCTATAACACCGACTAACATAAGGAGCAGTCGGCTGCAGAAAAAAATTTTGATTTTGAATTTAAATATTTCATTCAAAAACCTACAAAAAGTTATTATGAAAATGCAAATATCAACTCATTCAGATATACTTATCAAAAAAAAAACACTACCAAGAACTCAAGTTTTTCATCAAAATCTAAAAGAAGATATTCGATTGTTTTATTATTTTCCATAAAGCAACTTTACATGTTAAGAACAATTCTAATCGAATGATGTGTTTATAAAGCGTATAATAATTGCATTGAGTAATGATGATATTTGGCTAGAATCAATACTATATGATCACTATTCTCTACAGATTTAATGATCAAACTATTTCATTTTATAAAAATATAAGTATATCAATTAGATTCTTATTGAAACGGTAATATATTCGATTGCCTATCAAACACGAAGATATATGTTATTGTTCGTATTCATATATCAATTGCCTAAAGTATACCAAAAAACAAAACTAATCTGTATTATATTTTCCTTGTTTGTCAGAGATCAACTTATATTTATTCAAATAAGACGACATCATCGTCGTTCTCGTTTGTTTTTCAATAAAATGAATCGATATGACCTATATTCAAACTGAATAGCAAGTGTAAGCGATGAACAGAAAGAACAACTCTATCGCTACCATCGATAATAATATGTATCGAATTACTTCATCCCTCTTGTCGAATCTCTTTCAGTACATACAAACAAACGCTTATATAATAGTCACACAAGAGAAAGAAACATTTTCAAAGTCAACACTATAAAGAAGAAATCAATTTGCAAAAAAAAAAAATAAGAGTAGAAAAGTAATGTGTGACGGTCAATAACTGTTACTTTGTCGTTAATATTAACCTACTGGATACTGATGATTCTTTCGTTCTCTACAATTATATGGAAAAATCGAAAAATCACTCTCTCTTGCGTTCGATCGTCTTGTATCAGTAGTATTCATGGATATTTTGTCGCATATATAACATGGATTGATATAGCTATGCCAATGAACATTTCATTTCACAGCTGTTTATCGACACGACAGAACGAGAAAAGTTATCTTTTCGTTCTGCATGTCTTCAACTGAAGACAAGCGGTATCCAAAAGGTTAAATATGAGTTATCCATTGACAGGTAAATCGTTATTTATTGAATCATTCATTATTGCTGTTTTTAGGTATTTCCAAAACATTATCTTATTCACAATTGAGTAATAATAGACGAATATTATGTTCTGTATGTTTTTGTTATCGTTCATATGAATTATTTTCTACTAATTATTGTTGTTCGTCATTAAAAAAACATATTAAACGTAAAGTTTGTGATTCATGTGTTCATCGACATATTCTATCAAAACTTTATTCATGTTTAACTAGTTATATAACATGTCCAGAATTAAATTGTTCTTTTTATTTATCTCAATCATCAATATGTGATATTCTTTTAAAATATGAAAGTAATCAATTATTAAATGATTATTTATATGAACTACAATGGCAAGGAAAAAGTGATGAATGGATAAAAAGATATGCAATACGTTGTCCTGGATGTAATATACCTATTGAAAAAAATGGAGGTTGTGATGAAATTATTTGTATTCGATGTCAAATACATTTTTATTGGTCAAAAGCTAAAAGAAATCTTCCACAAAGTAAAAAACAAAGACAAAAATATTTTTCTCATATTCTTCCTTTTATTCATATTATTATACTCGTGATTTTTCCTTTTTTTCTTATCTTAGCAATTCTTCTCTATTATAAATAAAAACAAAATATTTTTTTTATTATCTTATTCAGTTTTAATAGATAAAGTTGAATCGATATTCATAATTTATTCTAACACTACAAATATCCAACTTTGCAAAATCGCATATTAGTCGACTACACTTCGACGAGTTACGCAAATTAACATCTACTATTAACCAATTTGTATCAGACTTAGAATCAATATATCGCTACCAAAATCGTCAAGTCAGCTTCACAACACTAAAACTCAGGATCTTTCTTATATTTCAAACAAACAATCCATAGAAATGTGCAATCTATCTCATTTATATACAACTCAAATACTTAAATATATCTGAACGTGTCGATAGCATTTATAAAATCATATTAATATTCACTAATAGATGTAGTTCTTTCGCAGAGTTGTGCAACTCAATTCAATTCAAGGGTCTAATTGAATTGAATTGAGTTGAAACATTTTTCAAAAATATACTAATTGATTTGAATTGGATTGGATAAAACTTTCAAACATCTATGAATTGAATTGAATTGAGTCGGGGAAAAAATCTTAATCAAAGAATTGAATTGGAAAAAGATATTCTGAGATCACTGAATTGAATTGACAGCCATTTTGAGTTGAGTTGCCCAGCTCTGAGAGTTTTTCCAGAAAATCGTTTCAGGAGAATTTCGACTCCTAGAGGATTTTGACATAAAAGATTTTTCAATATAAGAATCTTAAAGAGCAGAAAATTCTGAAGAAAATCAAGAGTCGCCCAGCTCTCTACGATATTTCCTCACAAACTTCTAAGCATTAGAAAAAACGAAAAAAATGCATTTTTAAACGAATTTTAGGGCTTTTTTGATAAAAATAGACAAAAAACGCGTTTTTTTTTGTTTTTTCTAATGCTTATAGTTTTGTGAGCAAATATCGTAGAGAGCTGGGCGACTCTTCATTTTGTTGAGAGTTTTCTGCTCTTTGAGATGGTTATATTGAAAAATCTTTCTATCAAAATCCTCTAGGACTTGAAATCCTCCTGGCACAGTTTTTTGTAAAACTCTGTTGATAAAGTTTCTTTTGAAAATTTGATATATATTCTATTTGATAGAGAATTTCAAGAGCTATCCAAAATCACTATTTATATTTGATCTAGCTACTCATCTTCGATGAAAAACTTCAAAAATGAAAGTGTCTTAAACTTTTGCAATCCACTTTATATATATTAATGGATTCTTCAGGATTAAAAATACCATACAGTTAATATACTTGACATCAAAAAGCATAAATTTCTCATTAAGTTTATAAATTTAGCATTCTAGAGTTGATGATCAAGAATAATTATGAAACTAGATAATATATTCAGATTGAAAATACTTCGTTTTTATGTTTTTTTTAACATGTTTTCGATGTAATATTCATAGACAAGTCTTTTAAATCGCTTGACAATGAATAAATTATATCTGTGTGTGAGTATTAGTAAGATGTTATAAATACTATCGACACATTTATATATCCTTAAGTATTCGAGTCGTATATCAATGAATAGATTGCATATATCTTTGATTATTTATTTTAAGACTAGTACAAATTGGTTGAGAGTAGGTGTTAACGAGAATAAATCGTCAAGGTATAGGCGAATTATCTGTGATTTTATAAAGTTTGGTGTTTGTAGTGTTAGCATAAATTACGAAGACCCAAGTTGAATTATTTGTTAAGAATACAACGAAAAGTTTTTCCTATCTAGAGCGACAATTTGAAAGTTGATTTAATGAAACTCAAAAATATTAACTTACATCTGATAATTTATCAACTATTTGAAATTGAAGATACTTTTTTATTGTTATTTTTGACAAATCTATAATACTTCTTATCTAGAAGAAGATATAAGATCGCATTCTATGATAAAATATCCCAACAGAAATAAAGTATTGAAATTCAAGTAAATATTTTAATGCATTCTAAAGAAGTTAAACCCTTCTCGTTAACGTAGATCTCGCGTCTTCTATTATAGTCAAACAGATGACTGTTGTTGAGAGATCGCAAACTGTTCGAAGATTGTTCCAGTATTAAGTAATCATTTTAGTTTCAATGTTGATCAATTTTCAATTGAAAATCTTGAAAACGAAGTCAACTGCCGACTAACTATATTAGTTAAAATTTCAATTTCCTAATTTAATAACTAAGATAAAGTTTTTAATAAATCTGACATTTTGTCCTCTCAACAGGTTGTATGTACTACTGTGTAGAGAAGTTTATTAGCGTTTTCAAAAATTTGAGTAGCCATTAAGAAAAATTGCAGTTCGCCTGTGCACACAACTAACTATGAAAAAAAGAAAATGAACAATAACATTGGAAACAACACGCAAAGCAGAACAAATGAATGATAATATGTATCTATGGTATATGAACATTTTTGTTATCGTCATAAACAATTTCTGTCTGATGTTCCATAGCTCATACTCTTGTTATGAATTGAGTTTGTGCTGTAGTTTCTATGGCATTGCGTGATTGTTCACAACAAAAAGTGCCTTAATCCATATTAATAGACCAGGCAACAAATTGATATA